AATGATGAACATGTCATTTTCGCTTATGAGCGATTTCATCAGGATTCTTACGTTAAGCTTGGAGAGTAATTATAGATTCTTATTGCACAAAGTAGAGTCCAATAGTGTAAAAAATATCTCGGAGAATTCCAGTAATATATATTTAATCATCTCTAAGATACAACAGTTCAGAGCTTAATGAACAATTTTGCTTTTGCACGATTCGGACTATTTTGCTGTTATACGGTATATATATATATATATATATATATATATATATATATATATATATATATATATATATCGTTAAAACAAAAGGTGGTCCACCTGTGCTTCTTATAATATGTACGATTAATATGCCGGTTGATAAAATTTGAAGAATAAAAAAGCCCCCAAATTATACCAATATTGGCAATAAAATTGATATTTATTATATATTAGCCTTTTGATTGATTTGAAGCACGAAGAGAAAAATTTTAATGTTTGAATTTTTGAACACGACTGTATCCTTTTCCCAAATTACGAGGAATAAGCAGAAAGTGAAACTCACTCGTACTACCTTCTCAATTGTCTTTAACGAATCGTGTATAGACGAATGATTGCTACTAAATACACAATATATATATATATATATAATATATATATATATATATATATATATATATATATATATATACCGCTCAGTAGCAATAGTACAGTATTGTTTTATGCAAAATAACGGAGGTAAAATAAGAATAATTTGTTCCACACCGCTCAATACTACTCTTTCATGGATATAGCAATCATGAAACGCAAAGTTATTTTTTTTTTATTCGGTAGCCACCATTGCAGACAGGTTTATTCCGAAACAATTAAATCCATATATATATATATATATATATATATATATATATATATATATATATATATATATGTGTGTGTGTGTGTGTGTGTGTGTTTGTGTGTGTGTGTGTGTGTGCCGCGCGTGTGGTAGTCGCTTCCTCGTCTACATAGATGTGACTTTCGAAGATACAAGGGACATACAGTTTTGGGCACTTATATATTTTCATGATTGCTCCCAGCAACAGGAGCTCTTAAATGATCCCAATGTTTTCTCTTGTGTTGTCGCATTCACGTTTCTTTTTTATACTATGCCGTATATGCCATAATAAATTCAGTTCTCTGTACATGACTTCTTTTATGACTTTTCAATCCACCTCGGGTTTGTTTGGAACGTCTATTGAGACTCAGCTTCACTGTAGAGATCAACTCATATATGCGATGCACTGCCTAAGATACTGGAAGAATGGCCGGCGCATTGTATCCCTCCAGAAAATACATTACCCTTGTTTTATTTTTACAAGAAACAGATTTTTAAAATATGAAGAATTTCTGCCATATCCAGACTGGAGCTGCACAATCTTCAATTGAAAGCCTTGATAAAGTTCAAAATCGTTTACGCGTCCCTGTGAGTGATGAATTTTTCCACCTTGCAGCCAATATCACAGAGATGAAATATTGTAATCCTCTCGCTAGTCTGTTGCTATTTCCATGGAGAATGTTCAGACGAATTACAGTTCTTAGTTTCACCAGTTCGTACCTTCACGACCTGCTATGCCACACCCATCATAGCGAACCACCGTCATTCCCTTCGTATTCCTTTGTTGAGATGTAGGTTCAACTTGAGCAACTTCTTCCCACGGACCACTACACTGTGGAACCGATATCCAAGAGGACGCTTCCCTGATCACAACAATCAAGTATGTTCAAGTATAAGATTAACCTTTATCTTCCATACGCATCCGCATAAACTATGCTTCTGACTCTGTAGCCGCCTACCTCGAGTATCTCCCAAGCGTTTTTTTTCTGGTGGGGGAGGGTGTTTTTTTTTGGGGGGGGGGGTTGTTGTCAGCTGAATATCATTAGAAAAAACAGAAACATGAACAGAAGGTAAATTAGAGTGGAATCTTGCTTGTTACTTTGAATAACTCAAAGACGAAGCATGAAGAACGATTGACTCTCAATTAGGCTTCTTGCTGTGAATTTATAGTGGGCCTCAGATACACTGTAAACAACAAGTAGGACTTTCTGTATTGCTTAAGATGCTGGAAAATATGGTTGGCTCTTCTTACAGCTCCAGAAACTATCTGATTCATTTCACCATGACTTATCTTTACAAGAGTTAGATTAGACAAACATTATTGTTAGATTGGAAGCTGTTCAATCCTCACTTCCCTGTCTTTTAAAACCTTTTTATCTGTCTTATAGCTAAAGATTTATTCGTAACTCTTCAAACCCATTCCCACAGACTTTGCAAACCTATCGCTATTCTGTCTATTTTCATGGAAAATACTCAATTACGCTCCAGTTTATTTTCAACCACATCAGGGCAGTTGTAGGAATTTTTTTCAGTTGTGCCTGAGTGTGTATGTCTGTGTATTCGGTAGTGTATAGAGTGGAATTATCAAACCCGCGGCTCGAAAATACTGTTTAACAGCGTTTATTTATGGTTGAAAAGGGAGAGAGTGAAAAATAGTGGTATTTTGCGGGAAAAGAGTTGGATTTCACAGTTAATAAAGTTTTTTTTTCCTTTGAGTAGATGTTTCTTCTTCTTCTTCTTCTTCTTCTTCGAGAGAGAGAGAGAGAGAGAGGGGGGATAGAGAGGGAGAGTGAGAGATCTCCGCTTGCTCCCACAAGAAGCGAGAAATCTTTGTGTCAAACTGTAAGACTGGTACGTGTCTTCTGCCCGAAGGGTTGTGAGTAGTTTCTCCTTTGGCGAGGTGTCTTGAAGGGATATTTCCCCACTTGTTCTCATGAGGAACGAGAAATCTAAGTGTCAATCTACTATGACTGGTACGTGTGTTCTGAAGCAAGGGTTCTGAGTTCGAAGGGAGTTTTCTCCGCGTGTTCCCATGAGGAACGAGAAATCTCAGGTTTGTAATGTTTACTTTAACACAATCCCCTTGGGAGTCGGTTCCACAAAGAATCTTTTTGTGGAAAGACGTTATTTGAGTGAAACTTACTTCAAACTAATGGAATACGAAGTGAATGAAGGTGGTTCGCCTCGGTGTACGCGCCGTGATGGAGTAGAGATATTGGAACTAAGGTATGTAACTCATTTGAACATTATCCTTAGAAATAGCGAAAGAGCATCGAGAGGCTTGCAATGTTTCGTCTATGTGACAGGGGTTGAAAATAATACATCACCCACATGGCCGCGTAGAAATTGAAGTCTCCAGCCCAGATATGACCGCAGTACTCCATTTTCGGCTTGATCTGACATGTTACAATTTTTGGATACATTATGTACTAGTGAGCAGGTCCAAATGACTTGACTCATTTTATGGTCCACCAATAGAAGGTTAACCAATCAGAAGACGTAGAATATTCAATCCGTCGTGTATAAAGGCGGCCATTTTGTTTACTGTATCCGAATGTCCAGTGCCAGCTTGTCCGGCGAAGAGGAACCGAAGGAATGACTACGCTCTGCTACTTTACCGGGATATCCACTGCTAACCTGAACAACGCTTCCCTACTGTCTTCGAAATATTCACTGCTAACCTCTGGATTCTATATTCAAGCACGACCGTCATCATGAACAACATGACAGACCATAGTAGTGAGCATTTACTATAGGGATACAGGGAACCGAACATATTTCCAACATTATTAACAATTAGGTGTTTCGTCTGAGAGAAAGGCGTTATAGAGGGGAAAATAATTAATCACCTACAAGGCCGCGTAGACGCTTTTAGACTCTATCAAGTTTGAATATTGAAGAGTGGGCTGCTCCAGCTTAGATATAGCAACAGTACTCCATTTTCGACCTCATCTAACCCATAGCAGTTCTGAATGAAGAGATACAGAAAAAAAGATCATTTTCCAGCATCCTTTAGCGATGGATCTTATACACGAATTCAAACTGAGATCTAAGCTGAATGAAAGTACCAGTAGGCTTTCAAAGCATGGGGTCTCTATTGAATCCATCTCATCTGCTACAATATCCCGCTATGGTTTAAATAGCTGAAATGACTAGGCGCCTTTTGCTTTGAAATAGTATCTAGTCAAGTAGAAATAAAAGTCTGAATTTAAAACCAACCTGAAGAGAGATTAGGCTAAATCATCAGTGTCACCGTAGCTGAAATGCAGGTGGGACCCGAGCGACCCAACTGGATTAAAGAATCCGTCATGCAATACGTGAATCTTTCTCCATTTCACTGGAACTTCTTAAAGTTTCTAATCCACTTCAGAATGAGTCCTGTTATTCATCTCGAGGTACTTGACAAAATCTAAAGAAGGATCTGTAATGTAGTCTATCCTGACCAGGCATTTGGACTTCAGTCACTTTCCCACCGACGTGACGTGGTTTCCCTCCGCCTTTTCTACAAATGACAACTACACTGACGAGATCTTTCCCCTGGCGCCCCGAATATATGGATTTAAGCGTGCTACTAGATTTTCATCTAGGTCCCACCATTTTACTGATGAAATAGTTAAATCCAACTGCCACTTCTACTCCAACCGTTTTTCCTCGCACTTCCCGACAGTGTAACTCCCTTCCGCTTACTTGCTTCCCTGGGATCTAAAACCTTCAAAAATTTGAATACAACGCCAACCGCCATCTTCTGTTAACTTGAACCCCGTTCATTTTTTTATCCTTTCCTCAATCTCCGCTATGTCCAGTCCTTTCTCTCACTTTCACTCCCTGTAACCAGCTGCTTACTAGCGGTATCCTCGCCTTGCTTGGAGTGAAATGAATTAATATGACACAAGAACACATGGTATCAAGGAACATTGTTGCATGCTAATGCTATTCTTCCCAGTGGAAGTGGTTAGCTAGCCAGCTAGGAAAATTAGAGTTCGCCAAACGAACCGAAAGCGCCCATAATTATATATATATATATATATATATATATATATATATATATATATATATATATATATATATATATATCCACTTGTGCGACTCATTCAGTCACCCATTTTATGTTAGTTTCGTTGGCTTTCTTTAGTTTCCTTCCTTACTTTTTTTTTTCTCGACGTCACACCGGTTTCCGTACGATCACCGAAGGTAAGCAACATCAAGCTTGGTCAGTACCAAGATGGGTGATCTCTTAGGAATACCAGGTGCTGTAAGCTTGGATACGCGGGTAATGTAATGGATAATGCCTCGGAATTGTTAATCGGTAAGAGGATTTCTACTAACCGTTGCGTTTGTTACATTCACTTACACGGAAATACCTTTGCGAAAAATATGAATCCAGCTCTGCGCCCCCAGCTATGGGTTAATGAGTAAGATTTGTATCATTAAAAAAGCATTATTATCTCAGAATAAAATTCTTAAAATCACAAAATATTGTTTTGGCAAAGGGGCGATATGCCATAAAAAACGAATCAACTAAACAACAAATAATTTTTCTCTCTCTCTCTTTCTCTCTTTCTTGTTTTCTCCTTCATTTCTTTTTTTTAAATCTTTTTTGTTTCTCTCTTTCTATTTCTCCCTGTCACATTTTATATCATTCATTTTTATTATTTCTTTCTTATATTTGTTTTCTATTCAGTGCCTTCTTCTTCTTCTTCTTCTTCTTCTTATTATTATTATTATTATTATTATTATTATTCTGTCTGCGCTTTTTCTTGAGATATCATTATTATTATTATTATTATGAAGAAGATTTGTGGGTAGCGTAAATGTTATCAGCGCAAAACGTGTAATCGGTGAACCGAGTACAAATTCTGTCCTTGTCTGTTGCGTTCACATTGACACTAACAGCCTTGGGAATGCACGAATCAATCTATCTCATCCCCACTCTGCTATGGGTTAAATAGCATATTAAACTGTTTTCTAGCCTTGGAATATGACCAGTCTAGGAGAAGGTTTACTCTACTCAAAAACTACCAGTTTCTTTCTTTCTTTCTTTCTTTCTTTCTTTCTTTCTTTCTTTCTTTCTTTCCCGTATGTTAAATCTCCATTGCTCTCTCTCATTCACTCTTTCACTCCGTATCACTTTCTTTGTTAAATATTTTTTTGTAGTTCTCTCTTTCTCGCTTTTACTCTTGTATATAGGTTGTATTGTCCGGTTCACACTCCTCTCAGGCGCTTTGAACAGGTTCAATCCTTATTACTTGTTTATAATTGAGTTTCTGGTTCCTCTTATTTCTTTTTCGTTTTCTATCACTTCCAGTAGCTCATTGAGTCTTAGTGGCATTATCGCCTTATTTGGGATGAATTTATTAAAAAACAAAACGAAAAGAAAATGATTCATTTGATTCCTTTTCATCCTTTATCATTCTTCTTCCATCTTTTCCTGTTTTCCTCCTCTCTCTTTATATTTTCCCTTTCCTTACTCTTCTTCTGCAATTTTCTTCTTTTCTCACTCTTTCACTCTTTTGATTCTTTTTCGTAATTTCTCCTTCTCCTTTTCTTCCCGTTTCGCTTTTTCTCATTGTCTTTATTCCTTTCCTTACTCCCCTTCTGTTTCATATGTTCTCAATACCTCTTTCCATTTCTCTCTCCCTCTTCCAATCTCCGTGTTTTGACATATTTTCCCTTATATTTTTTGCCCGCTTTGCCTTATCTTCTCACCCTCTCTAACTTCGCTACAAATTTACCCGCTTTCTCAGTCAGTCTGATTTCACTTCCAATTCTTCCTCTTTCCCCTGTCTGTCTATCGACCAAAACCTCACACCTTGATCACCTTATCGACGAACAGAAAAGCTTGCAAGCTACAAGCATAACAATGGCAACAAATATCAGAAGCGAAGATTACATGATATCACACGCGAATCCGAATTTCCAAATTCTCCGCTAACAAAGAACTACGTGTTTCTTTCTTTGATTTTCTTACTTAAGAGAGCGCAGTAAAAAGATGGCCACCCTGACAACAGTTCTCGCTACAAATTCGTCAATCGCCTTCCAATAATAATACTTTATTTATTTTGCTTTCATTTCCTCGGATTTTTCCCACTTTTATCAAAGTTTTCTAATCGTTTCATTTGCTCTTGTTCCGATTGCTGCTTTTGGAAGACAAGGTTTTGTCTGACGGTGCGTTCCCTTGATGGAAAGGCTTCCAATCTTGAGAAATCTTTTGTCAGTGAAGTAACCGAGCAGGTGATAAATCGATTGGGTCGTAAGTGGAGTGTTTAAACAGAGAACGGGATGGTGGGGGGAAAAAAAGAAACATACAAAATCGGTTAAGTTCTAGTTTTTCAAAAGGGACTCAAATAAAAATAAAAAAGTAGTTCGTATTGACATTCACATGTTGTCCAATAATTTTCTTCACGATGAATATTGTTAAGTCAATAAAATCGTGAGAGACTTTCCGTATCGTCAACGCTACTGTACATATGAATAGACAGATAGAGAGAGGGAGATATATCGAGAGAATTAAAAAGAGATAGACAGATATGGAATGATATATATATATATATATATATATATATATATATATATATATATATATATATATATATATATATAAACCTATATATATATGTGTGTGTGTGTGTGTAGAGAGAGAAACAGACAGACAGAGAGACTGAGAAAAAATAGAGATAGATCGACAGATATATATAGTGAGAGCGAGACACGCATACACACAACTGTGTGTGTGTGTGTGTGTGTTTGTGTGTGTGTGTGCCGAGTCTTACCTGTAAAAATCTCCAACTGTTAGATTAAGCTTTGAACCGATGTATCTTAGAAATGATTAAAGATATCTTACTGGAATTTTTCGAGGATTTTTCTAACACTATTGGGATCTACTTTAAGCAATAAGAATGTATAATTACCCTCCAAGCTTAACAGTAGATTGGGGATGAAATCGATCATAACGAAAATGACATGTTCATCATTAATTAATTATAGCTATGCATCGTAAGCTCATTAATGATTGAAATGATTGAAATAAAGTTCAAATAGATATATATTATTCCAGGATCATTTTCCAATTTATTCAAGATGATCCTCGCCCTCTCTAACATTCTAACTTACTATATTTAATTTTCAAGTCCTTTTTCACTGATTTTTTGAATGCCATAGCTGAAAGACCTCTCTCGCGTGCCAAACGTCTTATGGATTGAGTTGGATCTTTTCTAATTGATCTCATTAGCTCTAAGTTGAAATGATGATCCCTCTTCCTGTTGTCAAATCATGATCCATTTTTCCTTTCTACTGTTCCCTCTTTTTAAAACTTATTCACCATTCTTGGTGGGTTCTTGAATGTATTTGAAATGGAAGCGACAGTATGAATGTTTGTACCATTACTGAAGGCCTGAAGGATTTTTTAACCATTGCTCAGTTGGGAAGTCATTGTGTCTGGCACAAAATGATTTTAACCTTTTCTATTTCTAGCTGAATAACTCAAAGGGCTTTTCAGTGATTCTTACAACAAATGATGTCAAAATGACTAAACGTTTTATCTGAAAACCTGGAAAAAAGAAACTCAATTAGTTTAATTTTTTTTTTAGATATTAAACTTTTTCTTTGATGGACAATTATGCTGCTACACACACACACACACACACACACACACATATATATATATATATATATATATATATATATTCTTATACAGTGCGCGATGTGTAAATTTTCGCCATTTTTATTTTTTTATTTCGCGCATGTGCGTTGTTTTATTTGATTTTGTCGACTGCATTGTACAGTAGGGTCAGTTGGGCACCGTCTCTGAGAAAAAAAGCACCATTACGCAATTCGCTCCGCCAGAAATTTGGAAAAGGCGTGCAGTACTCCAATACGAACATATCAGAATGTTTGCATGTCAATCTGGGGACAGTGCAGAGAATTCGGAAAGAGTTGGATGATATATCATGGTGTTTGAAGTGATTACTAATGATGGACTTGTTATGTCTCTGTTCATCACTCGACATGGTCTCAGTCTCAACTATGAAGGTCTACATTAAGTCCCTTGTGGATGGTTGCTAAAAGACCCTATCTGCCAACAGATTCCTGCACCATGCCACATCTCCTTTTACATCTGGCCAACTATATCCCCAGACTGCAAGCCATGATTATTATGTGTTGCGCGCAGTTGAGCGACAGGCAAACAAAACTCCATTTAGCACCAAAGATGAACTGGAAATCGCAAGGATTATGGCAGAATACACCAGGTTAAACAGCTCCAAGATTTGCAGGAGTTTTCGAAGTCGACCGGAGGCCGTGGTAGAAACTAATGTCGATTTTGTTGAATTTATTTAATATTTCAAGATATGTTGGTAATTTTGGTAAAAAATATCTGTTCAAATGAAATGTTAGTGTTATTTTCATTTTTGCTTAATTTAGACGATAATTTATCCATCGCAGCTGCATATATATATATATATTATTAAAGACATTTTTATGTTTAACGTTCTTTTTTATAGATACAACTATTTGTATCTATAAAAAAGAACGTTAAACATAAAAATGTCTTTAATAAAATAAATTGTCGGACTTTGTCCATTTCTTAATATATATATATATATATATATATATATATATATATATATATATATATGTAAAAGTGTATATAAATATAAATAAATATATATATATGTATAATTATTTATATATTATATGCGCGGTACTTATTAGAAAGCGCTCAATATCAAAGATAAACATATTTGGTTGGATAGATGTGAGTTTGTGACCCTGGGTTTCACGCTTTAGCGATCGTCAGACAAACTGATTAATTTTTTTTTTAAATTTGGGTTTATGTAGATTGCGTGTATTGGTGTTATTATGGAAGTCCTGGGTGAAACTTCGTCGCTTATGTCATCGTACTAACGCAAACATCGATGTATGCAGACACATATACATACATGGTCGTCCGTCGGGACTCATACATATATAAACATATGTGGGCAGTTTCGGATATGACATATGTATGTATACGGGTGGTGTTGCGTCTATACATACGCATTTGTATATTGAAATTTAAAGATTGGAAGTGTGGCGGAAATGTCTCGTGAATGTATACATGTCATATTATTTATTTTTCCGCTGAATAATGTTTCATCGCATGTATGTATATACGTGTGGTGGGGTTTGTGTAAAATTATGATAGGTAAAAATATTATTATTTATATTTATTTTTAATTTTTTGAAAAAAAATGGAGGTTTATTTGTTATATTTAAAGCTGGTTATTTGTTTGTTTTTGGTGACTGTGTATATGTAACAGGTAGAAAGTTGTAATCCTTATTGGTTATTTTATATGGTGATGTTTAATATTTAATATGCTGGGTGAGAGGGTAGTTTAATTTAATAACGGGTCTATATGATATGATGTGATAGTAATGTTGCAAGGGATTGGAAACAATGATAATATAATTAGCTAATAGTTATTGTAAATTGGTAGAAATTGTAAATTGGTAGAAATGATTAGTAACGGTGGTGGGAGAATGATAAAACCATGAATGTAGTTATAGTGGTGGTAGCTAGTGGTGGTAGCTTGAACTAAAAAGTGGTTGTTGGTGTTTTATTTTATTTTATTTTGTTATATGTATTAATTTATTTTGGTGTAAATCCTGATAATAGGTATTCTGTGTAAAATTATGGTAGTTGAAGATTGCTATATTTTTTAATTTTTAATTTACAAAAATATTATTGTTATTATATTAAAGCTGGTTATTTCTTTGTTTTTTTTGTGACTGTGTATATGTGACTGGTAGAAATTTCAGTTTGTAATCCTTATTGGTTATTTTTATGGTGGTATTAAATATGCTGGGAGAGTGGGTAGTTTACGTTAATAATTATAGCAGGATTATTAGTAAGGGGGTTGGTGGCAATAATAATATAAGTGGTTAATATTTATTGTAAATTGTTAGTAGTGATTAGTAGTGATTAGTAATGTTGGTGGGAGATTAATAAAAATCTATAAATGTAATTATTGAACTAAAGAGTGGTTGTTGGTGTTTTTTTTTTCTATATTTATTTGTTTATTTTTATTTATTATGAATCCTGGTAATAAGTGTTTATTCTCATGGTTCCATATGGAAATTATATCTGATCTTATTGTTTTAAGGCATTAAATATGTTGTGGGGAGTAATATGCGTTAAAGATTGTAGTGGATTTATATGTTAATAGTAGGTGTGATCTGTAAGTGATGGTGCTGGGTGTTGTGGTAATGATAATATTATTAGTTAATAGTTATTGTAAAGTGGTAAAAGTGATTACTAATGGTGGTGCAATGATAATAATGATAGATGCAATTATTTTGATTGTTGGTGGTTTGTCTATTTTATCCATTTGGTATGAATTCGGATAATAGGTACTTGTTCTCCATTTGGAGATTATCTCTGATTTTTTTGTTTAGTAAGTTCTTTTGCGGTTTGTGTGATATTATTGCTACTTTTTCGTGTAGGCAAAGTAGGCATTTTTTTGTAATGTTGCTGAAGGCAGGGGCTTTTTTCAATATTTCCCAACTTATTGTTGGTGTGATATTTTTGTCTTTTTGCTGCCATATGTATGTAGAAATTGTTGTGCCGTTCGAATATTTCCTGTTGGTGAATGAAAGGTTGTGATTGTTATTCCTCATCTTGAATGGACCTTCGGTGGCACCGATGTATATATTGAACAATAAAATTATTAAAAAAAAATAATTTTCAGACACATTGGGTTGTATATTAATATTAGTATTCTTTCATTTTTATTATTATTTCATTTAGATTCCTCGACTAGTTTCTGCCACCATGGCCATCATCAGGAGAAAAAATATTCTGCTTGCTGGTAGCAGTGAACTATAGAAATGAATGTCTTGATGGAGAAAAAGAACTTTTGTTTTCATTCGTTTTTTTTTAATTTTTTTAACATGAATTTTGGTCAGTCCTTGTGTTGGTCAAACAGTCTCTTTTATGTTGTTAGTTAAGATAAGAGCTGGATGGATTCATGCTGCTCTGAATTCCCTTGGTCATTTTGACAGTTTTATTGGTTCCTGGAAAGGGGATGTGTCTCTGTTAGTGTGTATGTGTTATTTGTTTCTTAGGGAGTGAGTGAGTATGATGTGTGTAAGCGTTTATATTACTATGGGTGTGTGTTTTCATTTGGCTGATTAGGGAGTGAGTGAGTATGATGTGTGTAAGTGTGTATATTCGTGTGGGTATGTGTATAAGTGTGAGGCCTTACCGTCTCCTTAAGCATGTCTGTCTTGTGTGAGTGAGAAATGTGAGTAGGTCCTGATATATATATATATATATATATATATATAGCAAGAGAGAGAGAATGAGATGGAGAAACAGAGATCGTGACATGTATACATGGGTAGGTAGATAGATAGATAGATAGAGAGAGAGAGAGAGAGAGAAAGAACGAGTGAGATATAGATAGAAATATATTGAATGATTTAGAGAGAGATATTCAGATAGCGATATAGAGAGGTAGATAGATCTTAATAGAGAGAAGGGAATAAAGAGACAGGGAGGCTATGAATTACATATATATATATATATATATATATATATATATATATATATATATATATATATATACTGAGAGAGAGAGAGTAGAAGAGATGTAGGGGATAGCTAGTGATAAGCAGGGAGATAGAAAGAGATATGTAGTAATGGACAGCGAGAAAGAAAGAGATGTATACAAAGATAAGTTTAGTGAGTGAGCGAGATAGAGTGAGAGAGAAAAAGAGAAAGAGAGAGAGAGAGAGAGAGAGAAATTTACTAGAATATAAACAAGACTGGAAAGTGAATTTCAGAGAAGACACGATTTACGGCTTATGATTTTTCAACCAATCAACACTTCACGTTACAGCTATTAATACACATATCCGCATATTAACACACATTGTTCACAAAAGAAAAGCCGGATATTATTTGGAAATACTGAAATACGCGATGAAAATATTGATATGTCGACGACGTGGTGCTGAAAATTTATCGGTTGGACCGATCAAATGATCCAACATTGAATTAAATTAAAACTGTTTTCCGCGCCCTTTGTAAATTCTCACACTTATCTAGGTTTCGCCATCCTAGGTATGACGATAAGCTACATCCTATAGCAAGGCCTCTGTTCAGGAGGTTTTGAGGAGCATGGAATCACCTTTTAATACCCGGTGTTCCCAGGTTCACCCTAATCTGAGGTGATAGCACCTGTTAGGGTTCTAGCTATGGGCAAATAATTAAACCCTATACTTGGGTCAAAACACTATGAAAGTATAAAAATAGGTTTTAATACCATAAAATACTTTGTAAATAATTATTACCAACAATACATTATTACCAGCAATACATTTTTTTTTAAATTACCAGTTATACTTTTTTTGAAAAAAATATTACAGCAATAGATTTTTGAGGGAAAATTTTACCAGCAATACAGTTTTGAAAAAAAAATATTACCAGCAATAAAAATTTTGTCGCCATTAAATAACCCATTGATGTTGATATGCCGTAAAACAAACCAAACCATAATTAAAAGAAAAAAACTTGTAGTTCTAACAAATGATTTATTTTTATAGAAATATTTCGATTAGCAGTTGCCAGTCTTGGTCACTCCTTGTATGGAGTGACTCCTTATTTCCATAAAAATAAATCATTCGTTGGAACTACAAGATTTTCTTTTTTTTATGAAACTACCAACGGAGACAAACATCCTAACTTTCAAACTAAACCAGGTTTCGCTTATATGTGTTTCACTAAGCATCCATGTATTTTTAAACGGTGTAATTCAACGTCTACCGGCCTGACTATTCGAAAGTCTTAATAAAGAACATTTCGAAAAAAAAACTGATGCTTCTGATATGAATATAAAACCGTCTCTTCTCCAATACCACCAATCTAGCTGTTAAATTGTAGGGTAGACTATACTCTCTAGTCTTGTGTGAGGTTTAGTCTAGTACTAAAGAAATCATTGAATTGCATGATCATTTACGTTCTAAAGGGACATGTTTATAATACCCAGAAGTTCATACCCAGATGTCCTCAAGGATACATGGCACAGTGGATAAAGGCGTTGGTTAGATCCAGTGACAGGACCCAAAGAGTGTGAGTTCAATACCCGGTTAAAGCAGTGGAGAACATTCAGAGGGAAATTAGCATTAACTGACATCCATCAAACATAGCACTCTGAACTAGAATAGTCTACCCCAGTGAGCGAAATAAAGGGTTCAGTCCGAAATTCCAAGGCCGAAACGTTGTGATAAATATGGCGACAAAGATGAGGACAATAGTCCGAATAATGTAAATAATGTCATTTGGAATTCATTGATCAAGCAGCTAATACTGTTTTCGGGTGAAATTTATAAAATCTTTCTCTTCAAAGAATTCAGGAAAGTAGATTTTTCAAATCCAGTAGTTGTTATCGCTCTTTCCAGTATTGATGGGGAGTTTCCTTCCTAACCTTTTGTTTGAAGTAGTGTGGAATGTCAACATCTTGATTATGTCATTATTTTCTCTTTTCAAGCCTAGTAGTTGTTATCGCTCTTTCCAGTATTGATGGGGAGTTTCCTTCCTAACCTTTTGTTTGAAGTAGTGTGGAATGTCAACATCTTGATTATGTCATTATTTTCTCTTTTCAAGCCTAGTAGTTGTTATCGCTCTTTCCAGTATTGATGGGGAGTTTCCTTCCTAACCTTTTGTTTGAAGTAGTGTGGAATGTCAACATCTTGATTATGTCATTATTTTCTCTTTTCAAGCCTAGTAGTTGTTATCGCTCTTTCCAGTATTGATGGGGAGTTTCCTTCCTAACCTTTTTTGTTTGAAGTAGTGTGGAATGTCAACATCTTGATTATGTCATTATTTTCTTTTCAAGCCTAGTAGTTGTTATCGCTCTTTCCAGTATTGATGGGGAGTTTCCTTCCTAACCTTTTTGTTTGAAGTAGTGTGGAATGTCAACATCTTGATTATGTCATTATTTTCTCTTTTCAAGCCTAGTAGTTTTTATCGCTCTTTCCAGTATTGATGGGGAGTTTCCTTCCTAACCTTTTGTTTGAAGTAGTGTGGAATGTCAACATCTTGATTATGTCATTATTTTCTCTTTTCAAGCCTAGTAGTTGTTATCGCTCTTTCCAGTATTGATGGGGAGTTTCCTTCCTAACCTTTTGTTTGAAGTAGTGTGGAATGTCAACATCTTGATTATGTCATTATTTTCTCTTCGTGTTACATGTGCTATCCATTTTAGTTGTTGCTCCTGTTGGTAGTCTGCAAGTCATGGTGGTTATTTGGTACAGTTCTTTGTTTACTATTCTGTATCGCTGGTTCACACGGTTCAAAGAAGGGTGGTCTTTTTTACATTATTTACATTATTCGGTATGATATCCTCAACTTCATTGCCATATTCACGACGTTTCGTAGCCTGGCATTGAATTCACAACTCTTTGGCTTTAATCACTGAATCTAACCAGCGCCTTTATCCACTGGGCCATGTGTCAACACCAGGCTACAGAAGAGAGAGTTGAGTTAAAAAGTGAAATAACTGAGACATCCGAAAGAGGTATGGCACGTGGAATTAGAACAATCTACCCCGGTGGACGAAATAAAGAGTTCGGATCGAAATTCCAATCACCGGAAGAAGGCCGGAGCGTACAATGACCGAAACGTTGTGAATATGGTATTGCAGATGAGGATAACGGTCCGAATAATGCAAATAGTCATAATACCTCATCGCAGAGATACAGACAAATACTGAAGGATGATCATTGTTAAAACACTCAGACTTCACTAGCTCAAAGGCTTTTTTTCACCGTTGATCTGAGAAAGCGGTTGTATACAGCTGGCACCTTAGCTGTTCCTGAACGGGATTGGTGCCATTCATGACATCCATATGAAAATCTGACGGGGCTATTTATGAACATGAGTCCAATTTTAAAGTTGATGTTTTGGTTTCGTAGCAATATGCGGTGTTGTGTGAAATTACGTCACGCGCAACCTTTTCTAATTTCAATTTACATAACATTTTTAAATTAAAACAAGTCGTCGTCCAATCGTTGATTGTTCAATTAATCTCCGCCAACTATTCTCCGCTGCCAGTTCATTTTCCGGAATATATTTTCAAGGTATGTTGTAAATAAATATATTATCCTGCGTTTAGATCGCAAGCTACCCTTTATGTACCAAATGAGAAAATATGATCCGTTTTATGAGCATTCTTGTAAATGTAAATTTAAGCTATGAATGAATCATATGTCCTGCCTGTCAGTCGGTAATAAGAAGCTGTCGTCGGCCACACATGGTGGAGAAATGGTTAACGAACTAGTATGGTTGATCATTACTGCGTAGCGAATGCAATCTTCCTTGAGTACAAAATACTGTTGGCCTTGAGTTTAACTAACCTTAGCTTAGTAAATGAAACTCGACGCTTAATGATGGAGTAATAGCGAGGATCGTACTTACTGTTCAATAGTGTTGATTAATCATGACTTTGATCCTCACTGAGAAGCCTAAACTAAACCGTTATATATATATATATATATATATATATATATATATATATATATATATATATATATATATATATATATATATTGGATGCTTAGTAAGTTTGGTAACGATAAGGGGCTATTCTGATTATACAATTTTAGTGAGTAGTGAGTTCAATCCTAACTAGATGGCACATACTTTACGTAGAGTCTATTTTTGCTAATGATATTGGATACTTAATAGTGTGGTAATGGTTAGCGAACCTGTCTGATTAATCATTACGATTGAATAATGAGTCTTCACTGGGTGCCTTATTTTTGTGACCTTGTGCCAAACTTAGCTACGTTTAGTAAGTAACTCTGGGCGCCTCGAGGTGGGGTAATGGTTTGTGAGAATCTGATTATACACTACTACTGAGTAGGGAGTTCGATCCTCACTGGGTGGCCTATACATGTAGCTTTACCCCAAACTGAGTTTGCTAATGGTATTAGGTGCTTAGTAGTTTGTTTTATTGTGTTTTACGGTATATCAACCTCCATAATGCCGACAACTTTTTTTCCTGGTAATATTTTGTTTTGTCAAAAATCTATTTCTGGTAATATTTTTTCCTCAAAAATGTATAGCTGGTAATATCATTTTAAAACATGTATCGCTGGTAATATTTTTTTTTCAAAAGTATATTTTTCTTCAAAAATTTATTTCTGGTAATAATTTTTACAAAGTATTTCTGGTATTAAAACCTATTTTTACACATTTATAATGCTTTTTTACCTCAGTTTTTGGGGTTAACTATCTGCCCATAGATGGGACCCAAACAGGTGCTGCCACCCCGGGTCAGGGTGGACCTTGGAACACAAGCAATTAAGAGGTGGTTCCACGCTCCTCAAAACCTGATCAGAGACCTTGCTGTTGGAACGTAGTTTATCGTCTTACCTAGGACGCAGATGTAGTTTATCGTCATATCCAGGATGCGCGCTTAGTAGTGTGGTAATGGCTAGAGAGCTTGTCTGATTAATCATAACAACTGAACAACGAGTTCTCACTGGGTGGCCTTGTACCAAACTAAGCTATGATTAGTAATTAACTCTGGGTGCCTCGAGGTGGGGGTGATGGTTAACAAGCTAGGCTGGCTGTTATGTTTTTTCCTTTACTGTAACGCGAGAAATGCGAGCTCGGAATAACCCTGGGGTTGACACGTCATATTTCTTCTATTATTTAAACGTTTTCTTACCAACGGGTCCTGATTTTGCAGCCTTCGCCTCTAAAAATAAAGTCTATGAAAAAGCATTAATGTGCAGGTTTCTTTTTTTGTTTGTTTTTTTTTTTCGTTTTTTGCTGTTTTTTTATTTATTTGTTGTTATTTTCTTTTGTTTATCTTCTTTTTTTTGGCATTTCGCACACGTGATTATGATAAATGCATTTGACTAAAACACGTGTATTCTTGAATGTAATTTTTCATACACTGACACTTCAAAAAGTACTATATCCGCCAATTCTTTTGCGTGTATCGTTTCGATTCAGCCAAACAGAATCTGACTTAATGGACTAA